CACCCAGCAGAGCCAGGACCCCCCTTCCGCCCTGGTTCCGCAGCGAGCGGGGCGCACACAGGGATTGCTGTCCCTCTTGGGGCCACCTCCCGAGCCCCCCACGGGAGAGACTGGCCCACGCTCCTCACCGCACCCACCCGCCCGGGGCACCCTGCGAGCTCCAGCACCCCCCGGCACAGCCCGCAAGCTTCCTGCCTCCTGGCTGGTGGCTACCAAGCAGCAGCCACATTCCCTGGAGGAAGCCAGGTGGGTGAGAGCCATCCCACCCTGGAAGCAGCAGACCCTCTGATTCCTGCCCACACACATCCATGATCCTGCCAGGATGGAGGCTCAGCCGGAGGCAGGGACGCATCGGGCGGGCAGTGCCTGGGCCATGGCTATGATGGGTCATGGGCTCGGAGTCCACCCGGATCGTGCTGTCACTTGCCACAATCCCAGCGCGCTCCAGCCTGTCAAGAGTGAGCGAGTGGAACCGTTCCCAGGCTCCTCCTGGGCAGAGGGCAGCCAGGCACTGGAGCAGCTGGAATTCAGCCGGCTGGAATTCAAGGTGCAGGCACAGGGGTGCGACAGCTCTGCTTCCCGACAAGCACAGCGCCTGCCCAGCCCAGGCAGATACTGGGGATGGTGCTGCCTGATTTCCCACTGGGGAAGGGAGAGAGCCCAGGGACAGAGGCAACAGTGAAGAAGGAAGATGCCGGATACAGGACAGTTGTTTGGGACAAGGGGAATCCCACACACTCAAAGGGCCGGCTGCGTTACAGGAGCTTCACCTCAGCATCCCACTGTGCTCCCAGGAGGGGTATTCCCTGTCGCTGACTGTAGGCGTTTGGCTGTGGAGCACGCCCTGGGCAGTGGGAATAAGAGCCCTCGGCTACCCGCTCCAGGCTGGCCAGGGAGCAGCAGGGAGCCACGGTACAGGGATGTCAGTCCTGGGATGTCGGTCCCTTCCCTCGGCGGGGCTGTGCCACGTGTCCCCATCGTGTGTCTGGCTCATCCCAAGCCACGCTCCCCCCACCCCCATAGCGTACATGCTGTCTCACTTCCAGTTCTCTCCTGGAGCCAGCCAGGCGGGTTCCTCCAGGAGCGAGGCCAGTGCATTCCGGGATAGTGCGGAGCAGACGGCACCAGCTCTGCCCGTAGCCAGCGTTGGACGTGTCCAGGGAGCTTCATGCCTCCAACTTCCCCCTTTGCCTGCGTTACACCGTCTCCCACGGCAGACGCACCCGTGCCGCTGGATGTCACCGTGTAAACGCAGCGTCCGAGAGGCCGTGACACCGTTTGGTTCCTCCCTGCAGATTTCAGCAGAAGGAAAAAAACCCGTCACCCAGGTCAAGGCCCGGGGTGTCCCCTGGCCATGGGGGGGTGCAGAGAGATCTAGGCTGTTGCTGTGCCACGGGGACACAACCCCACGAAGCTTGGATGCCGGGCAACGGCACCAACTGACTTGGAAGTGGAGCGTTCGGTCCTGGTCCGAGCGACAGACCCCGTGGCCAGCCGGAACACTGACCCCCGCGAGGCGGCGAGGGCAGCTCGCACGGCGCAGCCCTAAGGCACTGCTGCAATAGGCGATTTTATCTCGGATCTCTGCCGCTCCATAAAAGGGTAAAGTCAATCTGTAGCAATAAAGGAAACGGAACTGGGAGTGCTGCTCCCGGCCCTACGCTTTAACCGTGTCGCCACCCTTCCCTTCCACAAGCCCCTGCAGCCTCTGATAACGGCCAACCGCTGCGGCACTGAGGTACCACCCCCCCCAGCCCCAGTTTCAGCATCTCGGGGAGGAAACCACCCCCAGAGAGTCAAGAGGGTTTCGTGCCTGGCTGCGCTGGAAAACAAGAGGGGAAGGCGCAGGCAATTGCTCGTCGGTGACCCCTGAAACGGGGCTGTTTTGGTGCCGCGTGTCACCGCGTGGCACTGGGGGACGGCCGTGCTCGGCGCTGGGCGCTGTACATGCACGCGGCCGTCAGCCCTCACTCCCAACATGCTGAAGGAACGGAGGGCGGGAGAGGCAGGGATTTGGCCAAGGCTGCACCACGGTGACACTGGGAGAACCAGCGCGGCATCCGGAGCAGCATTCCCAGCAGGAGCCGGCCAGCGGCTCCCCCCAAATGCAGGCAGGTGCTTGTGCTCCCCCCACCCCACGGTACTTCCAGCGGGTACCTTGGGGAACTCCATCACCTCTGCTGCCCCGGCCCTGGCCGTTCTCCTCCATCCCGCCTCTGCCACAGCATCTTTCCCAGGCGCGGCTCCCCACAGGCAGCAAGTCACGCCGAGCCTCACGCCGGGCGGGGAGGAGTTTTACAATCATCACCCGTTTATAGGGTTTCCCGGTTTCTCCCCTTGGCTGCAATAACCAGTCCCACCAAACCACGGCGGCTCAGGAGCCCGAGGCCCGGCGAGTGCCGCACCGCAGCCACACTCGGGCTATGGGCTACAACAAAAACTTCCTGACCATAGCAACAACCTCCACAGCGTTTGCAAAGCAGCAGGTGGAAGTTTTGGGGTTAAAAGAAAAACCCCTGATGGGTTTTGTGGGGAGCCTCTGCCTTTCCTCGCCTTCACCTTCGCACGAGGGTGACTTGTTGGAGCCCGTCCGGCCTCTCTGGCAGCACTGGATGCGAAACACCAGACCGGAGGCTTTATGGTTCCAAAGCTGGTAATTCAAAACGCCTTAAAGCGCTCCCCACCCGGTCATTCGCGTGAGTAACAAAGGTATAAACCATCCAGGGTGGCTGATTTTCCCGCGGGGGATGTCGCCCACCCGCGGCGTGGGATTTACGTGCGCACAGTGCCCTCTTGGGGTCAGCGACTGCACGCCTTCCCCCAGCTTGTCCCTAAACCACGTCTGGACCGATCCAAAGTCACCCCTCAAAAACTTTCCCAAAGATGCGGCAGCAGTTCGTCACTCAGTTCCTGGCTGAACTGAGAAAAGCTCCTCCTTCCCCTGGGATCCACCCGATCTGCTCCAAACGGAGCGTCGCAAAGCCGACGTCGGGCTGAGGCTTCTACTCGGGCTGCCAAATCCTCTCCAGCAGAATTCCGAGGAAGTTCTCATCGTCCGTCTCCTACTTTGCGAAGAGCCCGGTGAAGCTGTCGGCTGTTTGCGGTATCCAAGGCTGAGGGTCCGAGCCGCCGGGACGGGGCGTAGCGGGAGGGCACCCGCCTTTGGATGCTTCCCACCCGTCTCACTTCCTTCCCTGCCAGGAGCTGTGGATACCCAGGGATGAGCGGAGCAGCAGTCCTGGGAGCAGAGCACAGGAGTGGCCAGTGACCCCCAGCAGCGGCACCCGACTGGGCAGGCGGAACAGCCCCCAGGCTGCACCTGCAGCCCCCCTGAGCCCCCTCTGAGCCCCTCTCGCGAGCCAGGTTGCCCAGCAGCTTTTGCGCGGCCCAAACGCTGCGTCTTTGTCACACAGTCCAGGGGCCACAAAAGCTCTTCAGAAACCCCGAGTTCTCAACCCAAGGCCGTGGAGACGGCACAGAAATTGCTTGCAGAGGCATAAACTGATCGGACGCACCCCAGGCAGTAAAACAGCGCAGGGACACCCGAGCTGGGGAGAGCCCATCTCGCCCCCGAAGAGCCCGGCTTCTGCAGCGGAGGGACTCGCGATGCCCGTGCTCCATCCTTGAGCCGCCTGGGGCTCCCCACAGCGGAGCAGGAGTGGGCACGACAGGAGTGGGCAATGACACCCGAGGCGGGACCCAGCAGCCTTCAGAGGACGAGAGAATATAAATGAGAGGCCGAGAGTGCGGGATCGGATGCCGCTCGCTGGCCTGGGAAGTCACTGCTGGACAGTAACGCTGGCACTGCGC